AATATTGCGTCAGACTGTAAAATTATCCAAAGAGAACAATAGATTAGCAACGTCCCATGCCGTTAGTGGAAAATACCACTTACTTTTTTTTGGTTGAGTTTTTTTAACGCCTCAATCAGCAACATTATAGTGGCCTGGAACTGATCGGATCAGCACCAGACAAACCAGTTATAGACATTATGAGAACGATCCATGCACTCGAGTTACCAGAATATGTAGGACACCGAGCCTGAACACTAATACATTAAGTTATAAAACCACAAGCATACCGTAAATCTTGAAATCAGTGCGATGATTGGATTAAGGCTCGATTGAATTCATCTCGGGGAAACTCATGGGAGTCATTTACTCCTAGAATTCCGCTAGGGTTGAGGGACTTTGCATTACTATTGAGTCGCAAATTTGGCTGGGGGAAAGCAGTCGGATTAATTAATAGACGCATTAATTTCAAGAGTTACAATATATAAGGTGATGGGAACCAATTCAAACCAGGATTCCACACGTGGATAGTGTAAATTACTCCGGTCACGAACTACACGGGTTTTTTTGCTATTCTCTTCCAAATTTAAAAAGGGGTTTAAAGTAATTACAGCCATGAACACTGAGTTAAAATAATATTAACCAGTTGTTTTGCCACTCAGAAGTTCTGCATTACAGATAGCCTTGATATTTCCTCCATCGAACACATTTGGTGAATGTGTTCTGTTGTTTTTGTTTGAAGAAAACATAAAATCATAAGGACTGCTTCATTTTCTTGCTTCATCTTGTGCTCTCAAAATTAAAAAAACCTGTTCTCTTCATTTATTGTTTTGTTGCTTCGACGTCTTAACTCGTATATGTATGGTGAGTGAGTCAGTTGGCTTTAACACCGTTTTCAACAGTATTCCAGTTATATCGCGGCGTGCCAGCTTAATGTTGGAGGAAAGCCCGAAGTGATGCAGGTCTCGGACGTTTACCACTTCGGTAAAACACACGAGTACGGGTATGGTGCTGACAAACCTAGAAACATAATCGGGGCGAAGAGGGATTCGAACCCCCAATCATAGGTTTCTGGCGTGCCCAAGGGACGCAACTCTGCACAGCGAATCGCGGCGCCTTAGACGACTGGGCCACCTGTGTCCCCGTATATGTATGTTGTAAAAAATGTATTCGCTATTAGATAGCACCAGCCTGTAGCCTGGACCATCGCTTTAACGTGTATTAACTTTCTGTTTGCTGTGACATGCGGACATAAATAACGCGACTCTTAATGTTTGATATGTGTTCTTCATCCTTCAACTAAACTGCTGGGCATCAGAGAGTATACACCCATGTTTGATGTTGGCTAAAATGAAACAAGAAGAAATGCTTATTTGATGGTGATGTATTTGATACGGATACCATAGTTGTGTTTATGACCTAAAGTCGGCAGTGTTTCGACGACTGTTTTGAACCTAATCACGTTTTGATAACGTTTGTAATGTTTGGGTCATATTCTCATGTTGACGTGAATACTTTCTTTCGCCAGGAAGTTAAGCGCATACTATTCCAAATAACAAAAGCATGACAGAAATCTGTACCTAAAAGAACCTGAAATTTAAAGTGAACCAACAAACACACAACAAGTGGTATACGATCAATAAATATATTTCCAGAATTAACTAGGTTTACAAAACAAAACAAATTACTACACTACAATTACAATGGCAGTACACAATAGAGTGGGAGTACAATAATCAATGGCAATAAATAATGATAGCAGTGGTCAGTATCAAATACACGATTCAGTAGTGATAGCAAAAGTCAGTGTTAATAATAGATATTCACCTAGCGACGACAGTGGTCAAGCTTCCGAGATGGACTAGGGTGGGAATCAGGGATGATGAGAGATCCTCACATGAATGAAATGAAAAGCGTTACAGATACGTAACCAAGCTCTTGTGCCCTTATATAGTCTAACCAGATACTTGAAAGTTCCACATGTTTCTGTAACATACTATCATTGGTTGGTTGGTTTGATGTTTAACGCCGCACTCAACAATATTCCAGCTATATGACGGCGGTCTGTAAATAATCGAGTCTGGACCAGACAATCCAGTGATTAATCTCGCGAGCATCGATCCACGCAGTTGGGATCGATGACATGCATCAACCACGTCAGCGAGCCTGACCACCCGATCCCATTAGTCGCCTCTTACGACAAGCACAGTCGCCTTTTACAGCAAGCATGGGTTGCTGAAGACCTATTCTACCCCGGATCTTCACGGGTCGTACCATACTATCACCGTCCGCGGTGTGCCGGACCGGAGGTGTACACACCTCACTAACATCTAAATATAGCCTATACACATTGCAATGAACGTCTACCGTATTTCAACAGAAAAAGTTACAATAACTGTTCAGCAACAAAATACAGTATCAAATAACACTTACAAGTATACGTTAAACTGGCAATCCCCATAGTTTTTCTTCCACAAACCCTATTCACAGTGACAGGGACACGACAAACCACCTTACATTAAATACAACACAACCAAATAACCAGCATTTTGTCTTTCTTTTTAATAGCAAATTGAATTGAGATAAATCGATACGTACAAAAGTATCGTCATTCCATATATACTACTCAAAAGAAGTTAAGGATCACCCGATTCTTTCATAATGGTAAAGTTAATCTGTCATGACATGAGAGATTAACTATAGTAATATGAAAGAATCAGGTGATCCTTAACTTCTTTTGAGTAGTATATATGTCACTCAAGCATTGCACAAAGACAACGGCTCCAAACACAATATCGATCAATATGAATGTTAATTGTTTTCTCCATTTGTAATGATTTAACACACTATATCTAATAAATATTCCAACAGTCTCCAAAGATTGTACCCTAATGAGAACAGACTACACAGCAATCAAACAAGACAATAATTATTGGATTTTGTTGCAAAGAACCAGTCCGGTAGGTTTAATGAGCTATTACTAGCATATAGACTATCGGGCAAAGTTTGCATTTAAGATTCAATAGAAAAAGTATTGTTTAATATTGGAACATTCAATGAAATGGAACAAGTGTACTCATCTATTTACAAATTCAATGCAAACTTGGATATTGTTTTTTCTAACAAAGTGCTCTGAGAGCACAACATCCCCCGCATGAATTTTTTTAACGAGTTTATATTTTCTTTTTATTTTATGAAATAACAACAGTAGATGGCACTGCATTTGAAACAATCTGTGCGGAACATTTTGTTGGGAGCAATCTCATTAAAATCAGATCTTAGTTCTCGCTATCGCTAAACAAAGATCTGAGGACATCCCGTTACTGGTCACGTCAGAACGACCTTTCATCCAACCAGTCAGAGCGTCGCTTACCAGATTCTGAAAGTGACAGTTGGAATGTGTTTTCTGATCATGCAACCACGAAATATTTAACACGGGGCATTCCGAAAGACATGTACGGGTTTTATGATTATATCCATTACAATCTAGGCCATCTTTTAGCCATTCGAGAATGTTCTTCTTATAAGCTTTATTCTTTTTAATCGAGAATACAGTTTGAAACTAGTGTCGTAAAGCTCGAGAAAGCTGCCTTTGATTGGCTAATGTCGATATCTTGTCAGTCATTTCATTGGTCGGTCAAGATTCGCGTAAGGTCGTTCTGACCTGACCCGTAATGGGATGTCCTCAGATCTTAGTTTAGCGATAGTTTAGCGATAGCGAGAACTAAGATCTGATTTTAAATGAGATTGTGTTGGGAGTAATCAAGTCTGAATGCTAATGCCATAAGGATGTAGCTCACCAACAAAAGCCTTATACAAGGAAACTAACTATAGTTATAGTTATAGTTAGATATTGTGATATTCTCTGGAAACTGAAAGAGGAGAAGATTTCACGAAGCTCCGTAAAACAGGGGCAGTTACTCTGTCAAAATTTGTCGAAATAAAACGGGACTGAGATATGCGTATCATAAATATGTCGACATCTTGTGTGTAGAGTGTCAGGGATATTCTATAAAAGCTGGAAGAGGAGTTGATTTCACAAGCTTAGTACCCTCTCGCACAATTAGGCAGATGAAGCTCCGTAAAACAGGGGCAGTAGCTCTGTCAGAATTAGTCGAAATGAAACGGGACTGCGATATGCGTATCATCAACATGTCGACATCTTGTGTGTAGAGTGTCAGGGATATTCTCTGGAAACTGTAGGAGGAGTTGATTTCACTGGCTTAGTACCCTCTGTGGGACGGACAGACGGACGGACGGACGGACTGCGCGACGATAAATCCCCCTTCAGCCATTCTGGCCCGGTGGGGATAAAAAGGTATGATGCACACCATGAATGCAACTATTTCAATAATTTGCGTTTCGGAGTCATGCAAATATAATATATGATAGAAGTTACACTGCAAATGTAATTTGACCAACATATTACAAACATTGATATGTTATGAAAACGATACTAGGCAGAAAAAAAGTCGCCGAAACACAGTAAATAAACTATAATAGCCGTAACAAATATACCACCAACGAATAGCCACCATAACACATGGATATATACTATATATTCCCTGGCAGAATAGTGGAAGGATGTTTCCCATGTGAATAAGGAAACAGTGTAAACACCAGGTTCAGAGTAGGCCCCAGCCAACACATACATCTACATAGGCGACATGGATCGGGTGGTCAGACTCGGTGACTTTATTGATTCCTCATAATGCAACCACTAGTTCATCGGACTTTTTACAGGCCGCCTTCATATAGCCGAGTGGGGTGTCAAAACCAAACAAAACAAACTGAGTGTCTATCACAATCGTTAGCTCACTAACGTCATTGCTAATCCTACCACCGATTACTTAAAGAACTCAAAGGCACCGAGGGCAAAGCTCAGTGTCAAATCTGATAAGTAGCACAAGCTGGTGGCGCTGATATCTTGATTAATTGTAAAGTACAGATAAGAAAACCAGTGAGTCAATATATTTCCCCAGTTTACAGCCATATCAAACACACATTTATCCTATGTCTGTGTTAAAAATAGCATAGCACCGCTAGCGTATTGCTGCGACTACTCAAGATACATTCCTACTGGAGGAGTTGCCTACATATCTGGGTGTCAGTGGCAAGAATCTGTTTTAGGATCTAACCAGTGGTAAGTCAGCGTTTCCCTATACATTCATGATAATACGGGTTTTTTTAAAAAAAGTAAACAGTGAGACTCCGTTTATCCATAAACCAAGCTTTTACTACATATTCACACAGCTACGTTATTTCGTAATGTGTATAGTTTCACCTGGATAGGATCACCATTAATGTGATTTCACTGAAAAACCTTTGTGTACACCTAGCGACACAGTTTCCAATCAGAGATGGGCTACAAAATCACAAACAAGGGCAACGTTCAATGATTATATATATATATAATGTTATGCTTTAATTCTGTGCTTTAAAATCGCTTTTCCATTCTCACAAGCATTACCAAAACATTGCGAGTTTTCCTGGAATGCGCGCATTAATATTTATTACGTCACAGGGTAAGTGATGTGTCAGTCGGACAGTGACAGTAGCCAATATAGTTCCAACTGAAATCTGTTTCTTATACAGTGGCGAAGCAACATATACGCAAAACAACAGTTGTTTTTAATTGCCTTTCGCGGCAATCCATCGGTCTGTCCGCTAGAGTAACTGCCCTTTGTCAAAGGGAAGCTACTCTAACCCTAGTGTATGAGACGTCACGGGCACGGTCAGACGTTGTTGACAGTCGGTCTGTCCTGTCATAACGTTAAGAAGTGTGGTCAGATGTACACACAGCGACAAAACCAAACAAGGTAACAATTCAAACATATTTCGGACAAATCCAACTATTTTAATTTGTGGAGAAGGTTTCAAGTCGCAGAGGTCTACAAGCACAGATATTGCTACTGATCCCGCTTGGCTAGCCTAGGCCTCGCGCCCTCGCAAAATTGTTTCGAAATTTATACCTCCAAAGTAGCCAAAACTTATAAAATGCCTTATCTACGTCACAGTTAGACACTGATTTTCAGTATGTTAGACTGTTCTTTTGATAATGATAGCAATTATCCCTGTTGTTTATCCAGATTCCCGATGGTTAATTTTGACTCGATCGCCGAATGACGAGGACGACGCCATGTTTGTTTATAAACAGTGAAAGTAGTCCTACTTGACCTTTGATATTTGCATCTATCCGCATATGACCCCAACGGATATCGTTTTTATCCGTTGGCTTTATCCTGCCGAGAAACCTGCCCATTATATGATAAATATATATATATTGCAGTCTAAATTTCGTCATTTTTAAATTAACTGAAAACTGAATTAATTTATTTCAAATATATTATTATTATTATCATCATTATTTACTGATTGAAATAAATACATACAGCAAAGAGGGTTTGTGTGATCATGGCATAGTCAGGCTGGTTTGGCTCATAATCGGCTCAGGGCCCTTGCCCCCTCTACACGCAGCCCAGACAGCGAATGGGATTTCTCCCAGAAAGCGCTGCCTAGTCAAACCCACCCAGAACTTTTCGGAGAATTTGAAGGCTCTCCAACACTGAAGTCTTCTGAACTACCCAGATTGTCAAAAGGGCTGTATTCCTGGTAGCATAAACGGGTACTCTACAAATATCAGTCAACAGATTCGGAGGTACCAAACCTAAGGCATCGAGAACAATGGGGAGTCGGACAACGTGGTACTTGGGATGCTCTGCATATCTGTACTATGCATATTTGCCATATTTTTCCTGAATCTTGTCAATCACATAGGTGTAAAAAAGGACAGAAAATTTAATAATATATATGATTTCATTGGATTTATCAAAAAGTACAAGAACAGGTCTGTTGGCCTGGATACGTCTGAGGCTGTATACGGGCCTATTCCAGACTTTTGTATTTATCATTTTCCATGACGCCCTTGGATTATTCCGGGTCGTACCATGGATGGACCTCAAAACTACAAGCATGGCGAAGACGGTAATGAAATGACCGAGCTACACCATCATGCCTTTAAAGATACTGTGTTTGTGCTAAAGCTGGACATCCACTGACAATGTGTTGGACAGTCTCATTAAATTCATTACATAATCTACATTTCATATTTACATTTTGATGCAAAATCACACATTGATGGTTTCGAGTGGGTAGTGACTGGTCCTGAGCAGCAAACAGAACGCCTTCTGTTTCACGTTTCTGGCCAGTCGACCTCATCCAAGCGAAGGACTCTGCGGGATTGCTGACCTTCTCAATAAACTGCACATAAATATGATGCAGTGGTCATTCAGACAGCCTCTTCTTAAAAAACTGAGGCCGATTTGATATGGCACTTAACTTGGTTGACACACATTTCTGTATTACTGTTGTTGCTGTTGTTGTTATTGTTGTTGTTGTTGTTAGACCGCCTCCATGGTCTAGTGGTAGAGCGTCCACCCGGAAAGCGGAAGATCAGAGGTTCGATCCCCGGCCGCGTCATACCAAAAGACGCTAAAAGATGGTACTTGTTGTTACCCTGTCTGGCACTCGGCATTACGGGTCTAAAACAAGGACTGGTGGGCTCGGAGTCAGTATACTGTGTCTGAGTTTGGTATTCATGTTTAACTGCGGCATGGTATCTCATCAGTCCGGACTAGTACAAGCAGCCACACACACACGTGAATGCACGTCGCTATATAAGTGCAACAATCTTGGACGCGACGTTAAACCCATTTCACATCACCTATTATAATTATTGACCTACTTCTAATGCGCGATCACAAATATTGCAGAAAATGTCCGATCAAGAGGGCAGCACGTACCCTTTTAGGGACATTAACATGGAGGACAGTCGGTTCTTTTGTGTCCATTCTCTCAAAGATGAAAGGTACGTGAGTTATAATTTTTCGTAGATAATTCGTCATCCTTTTGTATAACAATGGTTACGTGTCAAACGACGATCATGGACATGGTATGAACTACAGGAGATCAGATGATAATCAATAGCAATACATTTACGTACTGACGCGCTGTGAATTATAGACAGATACGTTGGCCCGCTAGTCTGATGCAAGTAAATATGCTCCAGGCCAGTGATTTTACATCTGTGACAGTTGCAGGGCTATGCCATGACATTACTTTTGAAATTTTTAAATAAACTTTAAAAAGTGACATAGCCTCAATAAGGCTTGATAGAGAATAGCTTATAATACTGTTCTTAAACCAACCTTTCCACTGCGGATTTTGTTTGTGTGAATATAAGTTCAGGACAGAGATATAGTCAATTGTTTATAGTACTCCTCTGTTTGCCAAGTACCAGTGACTATATATCGCCAGTATACTTAATATACACTGCGTTAATTCATCACGCATCAGTACACTGCGCCGTTATGCGTTGTAAACGAACGAAAAGAGGCCGTTTATTACATATGCAATTCAAACGAACCGAACTCTATGCATGAATTTTGTGCGAACCTGTACGCGTGTAAAGCGTTTAAAGAGTCACGAGGCCAGGGCTTATGTTGCACTTTTCGTCAAGCGAGAAACACTGTATGTTGTGCGATGTAAGCCGAGCGCTCATTGGTGGAAACTCCCGATGGCTTCTGTGTCTTGATTTGTTGGTTACAAATAGCGACTACACCGCAATAGCGACTACACCGCAAAGTGACCATATGTTTTCGCAGTGGATGGAGGAAAGTGCGCAAGTATTGTGTGTGTAAACCTATGAAGTAGTGACGATAGGGACTTTGTTAAGATGAAGAGATCTGAAATCGACTTTATTAACTCGAGGAAAAGTTATATTTTGCCAAACATTAAATTTTAAAAATACCATTGCTGAACGTGCGTTGGTTTCAAAGGTGAAATATTCATTCTGAAATTTTTTAGGGCTGGTGGTTTATTTTCCGTTATGTTCATATACTGAGAATAAAAGATGGCTATTGTTAAGTATTGATTTTCGTCATAAATTGTTCTTCATAAAAATTGGCGAGGTAAGATCGAATGTCAGTAACTAATTGTTTTCTAATATTTTCAATGTTTGCGCCATGTCTATATTTGTTTTTATATCTGCAGTATATGTTGAAAGTTATGATAATATACATGAAAGATTTGTCTTCAAATACGTAATAGGTACACCTAACTGTATTATCTAGTCATGTAATCACTTTATGGATCGGGTGGTCAGACACAGATGACTGCGTGCCATGGTTTCTCGAGGGCGCGGTACATTGCTCATGTTATCAACCACTGTATTCACTGCCTTGAGCTACCTTCTTTCAGACACGCACAGTTCAAGTGGAAGAAGCCTCAGTTTCCAGATCGAGACATGCTAGTATCTACGTTGTGTTACGAACAGGCGTGTTTCCTTGATGAAGTGGTCAAGGACAAGAACAAGGAAATAGAGATCCTGCGAAAACAGCTGATGAAAGTCAATGAAATGAACTACAAACTCACAAGGCAACTCCAAAGGTAATGTAACACTTTAATACATGTATTACACTTTGATATCGCCACTTGCTTATAGCAGGGTCATGTGCCACAAACAAATGTCAAACGACACACAGAGCATTGGGTGTTCCCAGCCGTGGTATGCCTGGAATAGAAGTCAGGTAAAGCCCAAGTCATTCACCCATCCGGTAATCAATAACAGGGCCGTAGATAGCAGCTCCAGTTGCTCCCCGCCCCCACTTTTCCGAAAACACCTTACTTAAGGCCCCAGGCCCATAATTCTCTCGTGAGGTGAGGTGAAATGGGTTTATCGTCGCGTTCAAAATAAATGCACTTATATAGCAACAAACATGTGATGCAAATATTATTATATATACATTCATAATTACAGTTAACATGTTTTAGTTCTTTTACACCCAATTTGTCCCATAAAAGTCTTTTGCAAACGGATAACTGAATCTATTTGAGAAGATATCGGCTGCGACGACGGGTAACAGAAAAGTTCTAACTATGATAGACTGCGTTGATGGAGTAGGATTCTAATTACATTTCAACGTAAGCCCCTACGAGGTCCAGATACATCTGCCAATGATGTAGGAGTGCCTGGATCCCACTGGTGTAGAAGTCTCCCTCCTCGTGGTGTAAACCGGACTCCAGAACGGAATGACTCCATCAATCATTTGTATAGTGAGTGCCAGATAGTTCTGTCGTTAAGAAATGGAAATCTGACTGTGCCACATCTGGTGAATACGGAGAATGTTCAAAGCCACAATCATGTACTGCAGCCATGGCGACAACAGACTTGTGTACAATTGTACTGTACTGGTGGAACAATACACCTATTTTGAGTTTTCCACGACGTTTAGCCTTGATATTCTCACGAAGAGATGAAGCGTTTGTGACTAGAAGCCTTGGAAAACAGCGTGCTGAACTTGTCACAGTTCATTTCTCCAAATGTTCTCAACTTTCGCATGAGAGATGCCCAATGCCTTGAATATGTGACTGGTGAAGAGTCGTCGACTGAACATAATCATATCATGTATTTTATCAACAGTTTCCTTTGTGGTGGTAGTTGGTCTTCCTGATCTTGATTCTTGCATCATCTTTGAGGCTCTCTTCCCCTCTTGAACTCCGCTGCCCACCGCCTAACAGTGGCACGGGAATAAGCACTGAAAGTTGACACCATGTCCGCATGGATAGATTTGGGAGTTGGCCATTTCAGTTGGAGATACGTATATACCTGATATCCAGTTCCACCAACAGAACTGTATTTGGTTCACATACAGTCTGTAAACATAGAAAGTATTGTACATGCAAACTGTTCAGGGTACTATATATCCTTCGTAGTTAGGCTCTGACCTTTCCATCCACACAAGTTGATTTGGTCGAACATTGCTGTCATTCAAGTTCTGGACAAAGTGGTTTGTTAGTCTTTCTGACGTCTCGAACCTGGCTGCTTTACACATTTTGCATGAGAAGTGGATTGCCTGAATGTCTCATTACGATTTCCGATAAATCATTGTTCGCAAGATTTAGGCACGTTGCAAGTGGGTGCCAATGTAAAACAATTCATCTTCATTCGTCAAGACATCGGTCAATGGTATGAGAGTCAACTTCAGCTTTGCTACGATCAATCTGTAACCATCTGCTAACATTTAGCAGCAATTTGGCAACACTATAAGACTGTTTCACTTTCTTTGTATCGATCAGAGAGTTGTCTCCAACATCAACGTGATTTAAGTAATCACTCACTCGTTGTTTGTAAATTCGTTAATTAATTTCACACTGAACGTGTACGAAAGCCTTTGGTAGCTTTATAGTTTTTTTTAAAAGATATTGTTTTCTTGTTGTTTGGATTATTTTTATCATTATTTCAAGTTTATTTAAAAAACTCGAAATTTTGATGTTTTTATCACAATTTCGATTAGTTTCTCGTTATATCGATTAGTTTCTAATTTTTCGAGGAAATAATCGAAGTAACAAGGCTAAACACGAATTTCGAGTTTTTTAAGAAACATATACTTAAATGCGAAAATATACTACAATGCGAAAATAATTGAAGTAACGAGAAAATAATTACAATTACGTAAACATAATCGAAATTACGAGAAATAAAAACTGATCACTTGAGTGTTCAAATTAAAAGTGTTAATTCATTGAAATGTTGGTTCAAGAAAATAAGTAATTGACAACCGACTGTCCATTCCTGAAAACGTATGAAGCGTTTGAACATGGAATGACGTGACAGTTTTTAGGAAAAATAGTAAATGTCACGTAACACCTTTAATGCCTTCTCAGCGTTGCACCTGTTTCTGTATGGTTTTCATGGATTGTGTATTTTCTTTACAGACTGGAACGAAGACTGAAGTGAAAGGTTATTGCTTCAAGACACATGGTAGTTTCTAAAGGTTCTTTCAACACTTCTGACAACCACAGAAGGCACATCGGTAAAGCGCATAATATGAATGGCTTGTTTGATGTGGAACACGATTCATTTTTTATTTTCAAGCATATCTCAACCTCGATGAGACAAGATTTGAAAACACGAATTTCAGACTACCAATAAGCGCTATATACCTCTCAACATGTATACAGTTTTCTTTCTTTTTTGTGCGACTTGTATTGCATGTCGGTTTCTTGGATTGAAATTGTGGATGACTTTCCTCTTTTTCAAGGACTGATCAAGGCGAATTTGTAAAGAGACCCTTGGGCGTTTTGGAAGCGAATTATTCTCATCATATGTGGCGAAGATGAGTTGTAATTTTCAGTGATCCCATATCAATATATGTGTGTGTGCCCAAATACACAAACAGTTTGTTCACCAGTTGTTCACTCCACAGGGTGTATGGATAGCATGGAAACATATTTGTTCTATCGCAGTGTTATAAGTGGGTAAAAATACAAGTCGAGTCTCTAAACGGCATTTAGAAGTGATACACATGAGGAAGAGAATTTATGGGATGTCAACGTCTTTATTATGAGGAACACAACGTTTCAGAGTTATGATATGCTTACTCCTTCATCAGGTGAATGAATGCTATGAGGCAGAGAGCATTATAATTTCCGTAAAGTGTTGGCTTCCATTGTCTTTTGCTGATCACCTATCCGCGCCAAATATCTGATGGCTTCCCTTGTTAAGTTTCCACCCTTTGTTATGTTATTATTTTCTTTGTTCTTACATGTACATGTATATGCATATACTCCGAAACGTTGTGTTCCTCAAAATAAAAAAGTTGACATCTATAAATTCTCTTCTATAAATTTACAACGTCGCTTCGGCAATATCTCAATACTATAATGTAATATTATCCCTAAAAGGTGGGATTCCAAATTGCAAAGAGATGACTTAACGAATTTGGTGGTCGGGCTTGGTGGGCCAGGATATCCCGGTGGCGCGGGAAGATGCTCTTAATATTAATCACTGATTTGTCTGATGCATATTTGATTATTTAAAGGGTGGCGCGATATAGCTGGAATAACATTTGTTGACGTAAAACACGAAACAAACTAACAATAAGCCCCATTTTTGCCCAAGTGAGTGAGTGAGTGAGTTGTGTTTAACGCCGCTTTTAACAGTATTCCAGTTATATCGCGGCACGTCAGCTTAATGTAGGAGGAAAGCCCCAAGTGATGCAGGTCTTATGCGTTTACCACTTCGGTGAAACCCACGAGCACGGGTGTGGTGCTGACAAACCTAGAAACATAATCGGGGCGAACCGGGATTCGAACCCACATTCAAAGGTTTCTGGCGTGCCCAGGGGACGCAACTCTGCACAGCGAATTGCTGCGCCTTAGACGACTGGGCCACCCGTGCCCCCAAACAATAATTGAAATGCCACCAAAAGAAGTGCAGCAACAACAGTCTGCCATGATGGGGGTTGCTAGTCCGGACTAGTGCTTGCACATTGAGATACCATGCCACAGTTTAACATGAATACCAAACTCAGACACAGTATAATCAGAGTCGACCCGTCCTTGGTTTTATCCCTTAATGCAGGGCAACAAGTACCATCTTTGAACGTTTTTTGGTATGAGGCGGCCGGGGCGTCGAACCCTTCCGCTCTCTGGTCTCCGGGCAGACGCCCTAGTACTAGACCAGAGGCGTTCGCAAAACAAAACAAAACAAACCAAAGGAACGCATGGTTCAAAAGTGGGAATCCCTTGTGAGTGCAAAGTCCACACACTCCAAAAAGAAGGATTTTTACGGGTTTTTTAAATGTCTCAATTGCAGATTTTTTAATTAGATTTTAAAAAGCGTTCACAGTTTTCGGAAGTCTTAGAACAATCCTACTGAAGCGTAGTGAAAAAATCACCAACAAATAAACTCACGACACTGCACAGTGGAATTATTACAAAATGCCTTTGTTTTGCCTTGTTGCGTCACATTCTTCATTTTAATCGCCTCAGTTTAAGCCCATAACAATCAGAGGATATCCTGGATTTGATAAATACTCGATTCTGAGGTTTCTCATCACAACAACCAATTCATATGGAATCCGTTGAATTGACGTCCCTATCACAGCGGGAGGGATTTACATCAGATACATGGTATTTTTTTCGGTCAACGTGGTAATGGATTAACTGTTCAAAGAATAATTGTCTTACAACAGCAGAACCATCTATGTCAACATTCCCCTGCACATTGTACGTATTGCTTTCCTCAATTCAATCAATATTTTGAAATAATACCTGTCATTGGGGTTCTGCGTGCAGTAATCTATCAATAACATCCCACCCAATCCCATAATACTGTGGCCCAAATCTTCCAAGTTGAGGGTTGAGTCCTAGATTTCTAAGGTTGAGAAGATGTTTGATGTTTCTGAAGTATTGATTCAGTTGGTCTCTTGATCCCGTTAACAAACATGATGCAAACCTTTGTTCATCCGAGTTGTGGAGTGCAAGTAGCTCTGGGCTGCATTGCTCTGTGGTGGTCTGTCGGAATTGGCCTACCTAAATGAATTATGTTTACAGTAAGGAAGAGAATATATGGATGTCAACTTCTTTATTATGAGGAACACAACGTTTCAGAGTATATGCCTACTCCTTCATCAGGTGATGAAGAAGTAAGCAGATACTCCGAAACGTTGTGTTCCTCATAATAAAGTAGTTGACATCCATATATTCTCTTCATTATGTGCATTACTTCTAAATTCCCTTCAAAGACCTATGTTTACAGTAGTACCAACTAAAGCTCACATTCATGGGCTCATCGATCCTTCATCCACATTAGTAGTAACCTGCATCGGCGTAGGACCACCAGGATTTCTGGGACCGCTCAGATTTCTGGGACCAAGATGGCGGCCCATCCGTTTCCGGTCACGTGACCTGCGCAGTGCATGATGGGTACCTGCACGCGCATCCAAGATGGCGGCACTTCCGTTCCCGGTGGCGTGCGCATTCAAGATGGCGTCGCATCCGTTTCCGGTGGCGTGCGCATGCAAGAGGGCGTCGCATCCGTTTCCGGTGGCGTGCGCATGGAAAGAGGGCGTCGCTTCCGTTTCCGGGGAGGAGGAGGGATAGGGGGAAAACCCGGAGAAGCGCCCGTACGAGGGGAACAAGATCGACAGGGTTGTTGTTCTTGTGTTGTTCTAAAAATAGAAATAGAAAAGGTGGTAGTGGTGAAGGGAGGGTGGTGGTGAAGGGAGGAGGAGGGAGGAAGGAGAAGGCGGGAGGGGAGTCGGGTTCTTTGTTTTGTTTTGTTTTGGTGGGTGTGTGGCGATGGCATGTGGAGATGATAGTTCACTGACACGAGCTTATCATACACAGTCGACGACTCTGCCACTTTGTTGCTAGGTTGACGTCATATCGGCGAAGGATTTTGCAACAACATTTCACAAATCATGTCATTGGGTATGGTGATGTGTTTGTAAACTTTGAGGTGCAAGGTCTCGTTCCACAAGGCGATCGTGTATTGTAGCCCACTATGACAGCCGTTCGTCTAAGTTAAAAGTCGGTGAGTGGCAATCACCTCAGCGCTACGATCATGGTGTGGAATTCTAAAGGTGTTGGCTGAATTCTCAAGGTGAATCGACAGGCACAGACATGAACGTGATGTAGGTATATGCCTACGTACTGTCATTCGTGTCTCCACGCAAACATGGTGCCACGCGTGACAACAAACACACGTTTATCCATAGGATGATGCATTGTCACTCGTTTATTTATACCGAGGTGCTGGCACTCGTGTATGTTTACATGTGTACGTCACGCGTGTCTTCATGTACACGTACTGTCATTCGTGTCTCCATGCAAACATGGTGCCACTCGTGACTACAAACACACGTTTATCCATAGGATGATGACGTTGTCACTCGTTCATTTATACCGAGGTGCTGGCACTCGTGTATGTTTACATGTGTACTGTCAAGCGTGTCTTCATGTACACGTACTGTCATTCGTGTCTCCATGCAAACATGGTGACACGCGTGACTACAAACACACGTTTATCCATAGGATGATGACGTTGTCACTCGTTCATTAATACCGAGGTGCTGGCACTCGTGTATGTTTACATGTGTACTGTCACGCGTGTCTTCATGTACACGTACTGTCATTCGTGTCTCCATGCAAACATGGTGCCACGCGTGACTACAAACACACGTTTATCCATAGGATGATGACGTTGTCATTCGTTCATTTATACCGAAGTGCTGACACTCGTGTATGTTTACATGTGTACTGTCACGCGTGTCTCCATGCACACGTGATGTACTTCATGTCTTCAAACACACATGGTGTACTACGTCTCTCCATGTAAACGTGATGTACTTCACGTCTTCATGCAAAACGTAGTGTCATGTGTTGTCACTCGTTTATTTATACCGAGGAGTTGGCTCTCGTGTAGGTCTACATACGTACTGTCACGTGTGTCTCCATGCAAACTTTATGTACTTCGTGTTGCCATGCAAACGTGGTGTCACGCGTGACAACAAACGCATGTTTATCCATAGGATGATGGCGTTGTCCTTCGTTCATCCACGCCGAGGAGTTGGCACTCGTGTATGTTTACGTGTCTGTTACCATTTGTGTCTCCATGCAAACGTCATGTACTACGTGTTTCCATGCAAACGTGGTGCCATGCGTGTCTACAAACAGACGTTTATCTATAAGATTATTATTTATACCGAGGAGTTGGCACTCGTGTATGTTTGCATGTGTACTGTCACACGTGTCTTCAAACAGACGTGGTGTACTTCGTGTCTTCAAACACACATGGTGTACTACGTGTCTCCATGCAAACGTCATGTACTACGTGTTTCCATGCAAACGTGGTGCCATGCGTGTCTACAAACAGACGTTTATCTATAAGATTATTATTTATACCGAGGAGTTGGCACTCGTGTATGTTTGCATGTGTACTGTCACACGTGTCTTCAAACAGACGTGGTGTACTACGCGTCTCCATGCAAACGTGATGTACTACGTCTCTCCGTGTAAACGTGGTGCTACGCGTGTCTTCAAACAGACGTTTATCCATAGGATGATGACGTTGTCACTCGCTCATCCATGCCGAGGAGTTGACACTCGTGTATGTTTACATGTGTACTGTCACGCGTGTCTCCATGCACACGTGATGTACTTCATGTCTTCAAACACACATGGTGTACTACGTCTCTCCATGTAAACGTGATGTACTTCACGTCTTCATGCAAAACGTAGTGTCATGTGTTGTCACTCGTTTATTTATACCGAGGAGTTGGCTCTCGTGTAGGTCTACATACGTACTGTCACGTGTGTCTCCATGCAAACGTCATGTACTTCGTGTTGCCATGCAAACGTGGTGTCACGCGTGACAACAAACGCATGTTTATCCATAGGATGATGGCGTTGTCCTTCGTTCATCCACGCCGAGGAGTTGGCACTCGTGTATGTTTACGTGTCTGTTACCATTTGTGTCTCCATGCAAACGTCATGTACTACGTGTTTCCATGCAAACGTGGTGCCATGCGTGTCTACAAACAGACGTTTATCTATAAGATTATTATTTATACCGAGGAGTTGGCACTCGTGTATGTTTGCATGTGTACTGTCACACGTGTCTTCAAACAGACGTGGTGTACTTCGTGTCTTCAAACACACATGGTGTACTACGTGTCTCCATGCAAACGTCATGTACTACGTGTTTCCATGCAAACGTGGTGCCATGCGTGTCTACAAACAGACGTTTATCT